AAACCCCATGAATAATTGAGATTGAATTGAGTGAAATAAAATTCAAATTTGAAAATGAGTTAATATTCAGATCATCTAGACAACTCTTAAGGGATTTCAAGCTACTAAAATTACATTATGAGCAACTATCACTTAGCATCATAGGAGCATTAGAATAATCCATTAGAAACCTTATTCTAGGGTTAAAGGAATTCTTACATAGATAGTTAGATATCAGCCATTCCTAGTTCTCACTAGAGTGTAATGATGAATTAACAAACTCTTAAAGTCCACAATTTCGAAAACAGTTCAAGTCAATATTAGCAGTTTGGCGGAAATAGTAACTCAAGTAATAATCCTAATCTAAATAATACTTCAGCAATGCTTAATTTCGATTACTCTACGATGTTAGATAATAAGGTCAATGGCAATGATTAGTATGATATTGCAATTGGTTAGCATGGTATATTTCAAGCAAATTAAAACATGGATGATTCTTTATTATCCTCAACAAGTGACTTAAATTCAAATAACTATTCTAACTCAAGTTAATACTTTAAAAGCAATGGTATTAAGCAGTTGATGCAATCTAACCAGAAAATGTGTGATAATTAGTTACCATTAGAATTGCACACAAGTTCTAGTTAAGTATCAATTGCTGATTAATTAATTGAGCAATCAAGGAAGAGAATACAAGATATTCAGCAGTTAATGCAGCCCCCATAAGAAGTCATGAATTCATATTTGAAGAAAGACTATAATGTCGAGATAAAGCCAGCAGATTTTGAAATTCTCAAACCAACTCAATCAGCTAATATTTCAAGCTCAAAGAATCCCTTATATTAGAAGTCAACCAATGTTATGGAAGATGAACTCAAGACTCTGTAGGATAAAATACTAGATTTAGAAAATAAATTGTGCGTGACTAGTACTACTGCTTACAGCTATTCCAATGAGGGGTCTTCAATGTTTGATACTACCCAGAATAAATTTAAAAGAGATAAATTTTAGTAAATTCAGTAGGAATAAAATGAAAGAGAGGAAAAAATAAATAAGATTTAGCAACTAAAAAAGGTTCAAGATATGTCACTTGGCAAAAAAATAAAAGTAGATATAAATCTCAACAATATATAATCAGAAGACGATGAAAATGATTTCATCAGTATCAAGTAAAAGAAAGCTAAGGCGAATGCTAAAAAAGCATAGGACTCGTAGCTAGATATTTCACATGACAGAGCTATTCTCAAGGATAAATAAACTAAAAAATCAATGAGCAAGGAAAAGAAGAGGAAAGTCTATAATTCACAGACTCCTTAAAGAAATTTGATATAAGATAGAAGTAGAGCTAATAAACTAAACACATCTGCATCAACAAATAGAAGCAATTAAAGCAAGGTCTCTAACAGCAGATTTAACAGCGGAATAGCTAATAAATAATCTTTCACAGCAAGACTATAAAAAGATCAAGAGAAATCAAATCTTAAAAATCCTAAACAAATCAAACTTGCAGATTCTAGATCCTAATTCAAAAGTAAAGAAAGACCATAAACAGCAAGTGTAAGATAGATTTAGCCTAGAAAGGATAAAACCTTAATGGATATTACTAACACTACTATAGCATCAAAGAAAGAATAAAGACAAGAGGAATGCGTGCAAAGTAATTATAAAGAAATAGCAAGTAAAGTTGTTGACTTATAGAGATAAATAATGTCATTAAGAGGCAAACTTAAGATGAAGGAAACAGTTGAATAAGAAAACGAAAAACTCAAAGAGGAACTAGCTTAAATAAGAAGTAAAATGATGGAGAGTGAAAAGAAAAAGTTATAGTATAAGGAATAAGTATAAGAGTACTAGTTATTCAATGAAAAACTCTTAAAAGAAAACAAGGGCCTGAAAGAAGAAATAGGTGAATTAGTCATGGGTAAGAAAGTTGCTAAATAATCTAAAACTAAAAAAACTAAATGATATTTTAATTTGGAAAATAACTTTCTATTAATCCTCAATAGCAGCACTCGGGGTTTTGGGGTTTTGGGGTTTTGGGG